AATATTCTCAGCAGATAAATGATCATGTATTCTAGTAAATCCTTTGGAACAATCATAATTTTAAAAGAAACACAAGCTTGAGACTAGCAATATACAGCCTATGCCATAATAATTATGTTTAAAATGAAAAAGTTCCAGATTTGTTTAGAAGCATATTAGCAGGCTACCAAGAAGGGCAGACATGAGCTGTAATAGCACACACCTGGGATGGGAAACCTGTGGCCCTCCAGTTGTTGCTGGACTCCAGCTCCCATCAGGCGCAGCTAGCATGGCCAATGAGATGATGGGACTTGAGAGTCCAACAGGGAGATCCACAGCCCTGATTTAAGTCTTCAGGTGTTGTATATCAACCTGAGCATTTCAAAACAATATACCAAACCCAAATGAAAGCTGTCCAGGTCCTAAACTGTTGGCATGGAAATCACTTGTTCTGAATATTCCATGAGAGCTCATTTGAACATGTACCTTCTGTACATTTGCTTGACGTGACAGGTTTTGCAGGGAGGAGGATATTGTGCCAATTAGTTTGTGCACAGATTCAAGTGGAAAAGATTTCTTCGCCTGACAACCTTCCTTGACATAATGCTTCCTGGTGATCTTTCCTACTTGCTTAGAGACATCCTCCTCCTCAGACTAAAAAAGAGAGGTGAAAGGGTACATAGACCTTGACTGCTCAACACCTGCCAATACTCAACACCTGTGTGTGTCGGATTAGTTGAAGCTGGAAGGTCATGACGTACAAGTCAAACAAAAACTAGGGATTAGCACTGGTCTGGGTCAGTAACGAAGTAGTTCTGCATAGGCTTTATAACCCTCTAAGTAAGAATTTGTTGAGTAAGCACTATCTGAGGCTGCATTCACACAGCAGTTTATTCCATTTCCCTGATGTTTCCCTAAATGTTAATTTCCGCATTATATTTCAGGCTTCATATGACGTAAAAGCCAGTTCTCTCTAAGGGCTCACTTCCATGTTATTCAATTCCCTTAACCCAGAAAATTTGCAGCCATGTATAGTTCTTTCCTACTGCTTTCAGAAGGAAACACACGTGTGCAGAAAGGGTGGGGTAGTAACAACATCATCCAACAACATTTGTTGTATCATACCATGCCCACTGGTGTGAATGAAATTTAGCACAACTTGCTGGTATAGCAATCAAATAGCCACAGTTCCATAATGTCACAGGTACTGTAGTGAGAAACGAACATTAGCAAACAGGAGAGAAGCACTAATATTCCCTGTGTCAGAGTGCACCCTGAATCTTTGGCCGCACTGCATGAAGGACTGGCATGTTTGTTATGAAGCCTTTGGACTGAGAGCTTGCCTTTCTAAAACTTGTTAGACTTGGAAAAAGAGAGAAGTTTCCCAGTAGATCAAAAGTAGGATTTGCGTTTGAATGAATTCAAGTTCCAGAGCTGCTTTGACAAGTTAGCACTGAGAGTAGAGTGGAAATAATCATGTCTTAGTTCATAAGGTGGCTTGATGAGTCAGTGCATCTGGCTATTAACCAGAACGTTGGTGGTTTGAGCCCACCTAAGGGTGACTGTGGGCTGGATTCCTGCATTGCAGGGGGTTGGACTAGATGACCCTCAGGATCCCTCCCAGCTGTACAATTCTAAGGCCGAGCAGAACTTGTTTTAAAAATGTAAATTAGAAGTGCTATGTAGAAAGTAAATCTAGAGATTTATACCTTATTCCATTAGCTACAATGCACCTTCACCCTACCCACCTTGGGTTACCCTTTACCATCTGTGAATACATGTATCAAAACTCACTCATGCACAATTTGAGCATGTTATTTTGATGGTATGTAAAAAAATGTTTAGGAATACTTGACTGAGGCAATATGAACTATTACCTAGATCATCTTTCTCAGAGGTGCTTCTGTGCCCCTGAGGGCAGCAGAACTGATGCCACCATATTCCTCTCCTTTCCAGAATCATAGAATTATAGAGTTGGAAGGGACCCAGAGGGTCATCTAGTCCAACCCCCTGCAATACAGGAATCTTAACTAAAGCACCCATGACAAATGGCTATCCAACCTCCGCTTAAAATCCTCCAATGAAGGGGAGCCCACAGCCTGCTGAGGGAGACTATTCCACTGCCGAACAGCTCTTTCTGTCAGAAAGTTCTTCCTGTTGTTTAGAGCAGTAGTGATGGTTGATTTCATGGACCATTCGGGCACACATTATTTACCGTGCCCCTCATGGTAGGATTCGTGGCAATACTTTTCACATTGCCTAGAAGGGCAACAGGAAAAGGGCACTGCAGGTTGGTGAGCTCTCCAGAGCACTTGTTCATCTTCTAGGTTGTTCTCTTTTTTATGCTCCACCCCACTACTCACATCCTTGCACAAGCTGATTGGCAGAGAAAGCAAACTACTGCAGAAGACCATGGAACTCCATGCAGGCCCATTTCACTGCCCCCTGCCCTGGCTTTGGTAGGCCTGGACCACTGGTGGCTTTCCCACTAGGCTCTGAGCTGAGCATGTGCACGAGCATGATCAAGGCCAGCTCTAGCACATGGCTGGGTCAGTCACCCACCAGACCCTCCCAGACCAGCAAAGGCTTGCTGCCAATCTTAATTTCCACAAAGCACGCAGGAAAATCTGAGGCCACATGAGACAGTTCTCAGCTGGCATTTCCTGTACACACCTCTACATTAAAAGCACATCCCCCTGTCTTCCCAGAGCTACAATTGCCAGCCTCCCTAACAAATTGCAGTTCCCAGGATTCTTTGAGGGGGAGAATGTGCTTTAAATGTACCGTAGGTTGCATATGCAGCCTTAAGAGAGACCATTGGAGCTAACACTCAGCAGGATATCAGTGTACCAGGGACATGGGGGTAAAGTGATGCAGGATAGCCATTCTGTCCCCAGATCACTCCATACCCAAACCCAGGAGTCATGTAAGTGCTTTGATTTGGCAGATGGAAATCTTAGGAGGAGATTTCAAGTGGGAAAAGCATTTACGGTCTTAAGCAGTACGGCAGGGATTTTTTTTACTGCTTCTGTTGCATAAAACATTCACGTTTCCTTTCTGCATGCTTTCATTTTTCAGACATGTGGATTAATGCACGTTCACACTTTACACTTTATGTAAATAGTTGACTAAAGTTATTGTTCCCCACCCACCCAAGCACTCTCAGGCTGGACTGTAATAAACCCCCAGCTTCTCACAGTGTTCAAGGCAACTTACAGTAGACCAACTCATTTACATAATGGATGGGATTCAGACTTTGCTCCCAGTGGCTGAGGGAGTGGAGGCTGTCTTTTGATGATTCCCCTTCTCTCTGTAGCCTCAAGCAACACTCTGCCATTGTTCCAGAGGGCTGGGGAACCTTCTGGACCAGGGGTGGGAGCTTGTGCTGGGGGCTGCAGGGGGAAGGAGATTGCCAACAGTCTTGTCAGCCTCTCCTTTCTCCTCCAGTGGGATCCCTCTGCTGGATCAAAAAGCTTTCTGTGGCTGGGAGGGAGTCTTTATGTCTGCAGCAAGTTAAGTCAGTATTCCACCAGACAGGCAGTACTCAGCTAAATAAGTCAGCAAGCAGAATGGCTTCTCCTTGTGCACAAAGTGGAAGTTCCGCTTGTGCAAAACACTCCCAGACGTCTGGGAGAAGACATCTGAAGGCAGCCCTGTTTAGGGAAGCTTTTAATGTTTGATGGACTACTGTATTTTAATATTTTGTTTGAAGCCGCCCAGAGTGGCTGGGGAAACCCAGCCAGATGGGCGGGTATAAATATATTATTATTATTATTATTATTATTATTACTGCTATATTGCATAAAACACATATTTACTCATAAACAGACATGACAACATCCTTCGCCCAGAGACAGATTTTGAGCATGGTGCAGTCAAATCTTACTCCAGTAGAAGGCCATGCGGTTGGCTCTGTTCCATTGTAATCAGGACTAATTTAATTTAGCTGGATGATTATTACGTATTTCCCTCTTTCACTAGTTAGGCAATTTGTGTCACTCTTTTGAATGCAACTTAATACTGGCCTTGACCCATTTGACATTTGTGTCCTGCTTTGTAGGTGTTATTTTGTGATCAGGGCATGTAGCTCACTGATATTAAAGAGCCGGCAAGCAAGCAAATGTTGCCCTGTTTGCCCCTTTGAATGAGAATTTGTTGTGCTAGTTCCCCACCAGCTTCCAAGTTAAGTGCAAGTTAAATCTCCAGATCTTGAGCTGTTGTCAGAAGAACATCACAATAATCCATTTTCATCTTATTTGTTTTGGCACTTACTGTCAACTTCAAGTACAATACGCACACAGTTTTTACAAACAAATATTTTATTAAAAAATACTTCCCTGCATGTGCCCTTAATGAAACTGTAACCAAAATATGCAGAATAAAAATATCAAGCGACAGTGTTTTCTTTGTCATCATAATACATAAAGGTCTCCTTGGCAACCTTGCCAGAGAGCATTTGTTAGGGCTGCAATCCTTTACCCACTTATCTCGGAGTAAAGCCCATTGAACTTAATGTGACTTACGTCTGAGTAGACATGTATAGGATTGCACTGCAAAACTGCCCCAAGTTTATGCTTTACAGTATTGTATAAGAAAGGTGTACATAAATTAACCTTCAGGTTAAAAAAAAAAAGAAATAAAAGAATGCCCCATTTGTGTTAATACCGTGGACAGAGATTGTTTAAGAACTGTAAAATAAAAAGGCTTCTTTCCCCCCTTGGAAAATGCACTAGCAACCAACATGAAAGATTCTTAGGTTCTCATAAAATAGCAGTGTTGAAACTTGGCGAGTACATAGAAATTTTACCTTTCCACCCAAACACCATGCTAACAAAATTAGTGACAACTTCTATGTCAGGTTGGCTACCTGGACTAGCATGACTTGCAAACTGAGTTTTAGATTTATTTATTTTTAAATACCAGTAGTAGTAATGGGTTTTGAAACAGACCCAAACTATCAATTCCTGTTCCGAAATCTTTTTACCCTCACATCTGTAAACATAAAAGATTAAAGGCCAGGCTTTTAAATATGGATTTTATTAAGAAGGAACAGAAGTTTCTAGTACTTCCTACCCTTTGTTACACTTTCCCCCGTTAAGTGTTGTTATATCATGTTTCACAGAACCATCAGAATGCACGTGCATATTCTGAAGAAAGTAGATGATCTCATGGACATGATCCGGTCAATGTTATGTTCTTTTAAATCCCATTGGTTTCAGCTGAAGAGAAGCATCAACTCTCCAATTGAAAATCAATGAGATTTAAAAGTACTTGCCAATGACCAAATCATGCCTTAAGCAAGAAAGCAGAATCAAGACCATTTCATGAAGTTTTAGTCATTCCCGCCCCCCTTTGTATGGTGAGCAAGCAATAGAAGAGTCACTTTTCCAAGGCAGTCTTAGGTGTAAAGTGATGATTCCATTCTGTTTTAATGGCAGAAAGTATTGAAGCAGTGATTACTATGGAGTTAAAAATGATATGCTGTCCTGTACAGATCCTAAGACAAGTGGAAGTTTGCTGTCAGTCATGGCTGTACAGTGCAGCTTGAAGCCTCTGTGGCCTATGAATACCACTACCTGAAAACATTGGCCACTACCTTGGCCATGACAGAGATACCTTTCTGGTGTATCTTAACATAAATGGAAAGAAGTGAGGGGGCTAACGTGAAGCACCTTTCCCGACAATATTTTCTGTCCCTGTATCCTTACACTTTCCCCTCTTTTCACAAGACCTCCCTCTGTTTACACCTCAGTTCCCTCTCTGGAATATAGAGTATTATTTGCAGCGAGGCTGTTGTAAAAGCTGCTGTTGAACTGGTTGAGAACTGAGCTGCCATAGCCAAGATGACCAGAGGACATGGAATTGGACCATGGCTCTCCACTGCCATGGCTGGAGATGTTGGCAAGAGGGGTGTATGAGTTGAAGCCTACCACGTTCTGTCCCATTTTGTCACCAGCATCGGTGCCAAGTCCTAGGGCCACTGAGCGGCTGACTGAATTGGACCCATTCACATAAGCTGTCATGCTTGACAGGAAGTTGTTGAGGCAGGGAGTGGTGGAAGATGGTGGTGGAGATCTCTTTTCAGGGGAGCTCTCTGCTCCAGAAGATGAGTTCTCCAGCAGGTCTTGGTGCTCTGCTGCCGCCTTGGGGCTGCCAGTTAAGGCGCTGTCCTCCGATTTGTCAGAAGCAAGAGACACTGTGCTGGCACTGCAGTCAGACTTCTTCTTCCTCTTCCGCCGAAAGTTTCCATTGTCAAACATCTTCTCACAGTTCGGATCCAGAGTCCAGTAATTGCCCTTCCCTGTTAGAACAAGAGCAGCAGAATGTAAATATAAATCACAGCCAACAAAGAGATGGTTCTCAGGGCTTATTCTGGCTTGGATTCAGAAAAAGCAACACATTGGGAAACACCCTTTAAGAAAGACAGAGACTCTCTGCTTGTATTCAAATCTGTCCAGATCCTTATAGCCAGCCCCTGCCCAGGCTTTAGGTAAACTGAAGCTGAACTTTTACTTCAATGCAACTTGGTATTTCAGTCCTAATAGCCCACTCCACTCCCCGCCCCCACCACCAAAAAACACTTTACAAACCCTTCATTAACATCAGCAGATTTTACTGAGACAAGGCACTATTTGCCCTCAGGCAAGACAGCAAGCAGGCAGAGTGATTGTGTCCCCCAGTAACACCCAACAAGAAATCAGCCCTGAAAGTGAGTTCCTTAAAAAAACAGCTCAAGTGTTTTTATAATCAAGACAAAGGAACTAATGAATTCTAGGCCACCTGTGGACCAGACACCCACCCGCCCAAAAAAACAGCCCTGGTTGCTTGTGTGATCTTTAATCAACAAGGAAAGAATTTCACAGCATGGAAAAGATTACCAATTGCCAATGTCTTTGAATCAACCTACTATTAAAGTCATAGGATCAAGGGTTAATGAAGAAGTTGACAAATTTACTAAGGGTATTCAATTGCTGCTATGAATGGCAATTTGGAAGGGAGGGAGCCTATAGAAAATAGGGATTGTAGAATCTTACAAAAAAATATTTTAGACACATCACCAGATTCAAAAAGCAAACAATTTTTCTCCCACACCCTGGCACTCCAATAACTTTATTTCCCTGGTGGTAACCAAACAAACAGGTATTAGGGAGTAATTTAGGAAGGAGAGGACAAATAGCATAGCTACCATTCAAGGTTTCATAGGACTCTGCTGGAAACTGGATCAGAATCACATTTAGCCTACTAGATACCCTGGGGAACTTATGGGCGATTGTCCTCTTAAGGGAGCCTGAGGGGTGCAATTATTATTAAAAAGTCTTCTTACCTGGGTCATCTTCATCCCGGGGCACCTTCTTGAAGCAGTCATTGAGAGACAAGTTGTGCCGTATGGAATTCTGCCAACCAGCTTTGCTTTTGTTGTAGAATGGGAAGTTGTCAGCGACATACTGGTAGATTTGGCTGAGGGTCAGTCTCTTGTCCGGGGCTCCGTGGATGGCCATTGCAATGAGCGCAGAATAGGAATAAGGTGGTCTGACCAGCTTCATCAGCTCTTCTTGAGAAGGCATTGGGAGCCAGCCCATTTCATTCCCTGCCAAGCCGTGCATGTTAGGCAAGAGCTGCCTTTGCATCCCATAGGCTGGTGGGATGTATGGGCTGCCATTGGTTCCCGGTAGGTAAGGTGGACTGTTAATGGAAGGTCCATTTAACCACAAGTAAGGGTTGGGTGTAGCATTGTAGTCCCCTGTTTCAAAGTTTGTAGGCCTCTGTGGACTAGGAATATTCTGTGGATGAAAGAAATTTTCATAGTAGATGTTCATTTCAGGAGGCTCCTGCCCAATGTTAGGAAATTGCGGGCTGCAGCGGTGTGGTGAGTGTATCTGTGGATCAAATGAGCTCATAATCTAGCTCTGGCAGTTGACCAAGTTTCAACACACCTGTGTTACTCCTTTCCCTGAGACAGGTGCATCATCTGTGCTGGCTAGCTCTGGTACTTATACACCTGTAATGTTTAGGTTTCCCTTCCAAGGCTCAGCCTAGTGCATCCTGATAGGCTGGAGATCAGGGTGATATCCCTTTTTTGGAATGCTGACAGCCCAAGCCAGTAATAGATGTCGCATTAACCAAATTTGAAAGTTACAACTGTTTATCTTTTTAAATGAATGGAGGAATTTTCCACTAGTATGATTGACATGAAGAAACCTGAAAATCACTTGCACGTAAGTTGATGCAATGAGAGAGATAGTCTTCCTCAAATGCAAGTAGAACACAATAGTGAATGCAGAGACAAGCAAATGTGTATATTCTGTTGTTAATACTCTTAAACCACCAAAGAGATCTGCAGTTTAGGAATATTTGTGATTTCCCTGTTTAGGAATATCCATATTTTAAACTATGAGGGCTTCTGTCCTGCACACACACTATGGACTACGTAAGCAAATGCTCTTAGAATCACACTGTAAGCCTTTCACATTTCTTATGGAAACAGTGTATTTGGTAAGGAAAATGTATCTTGCTAACAGCACAATCCTGTGTTGCTCAACTCAGAAGCGATTCCCACTGGCTTCAGTGGGGTTTACTCCAAGGTAAGCCAGGGGTTAGAGACAGAAAATATTTTACCAGCGTGCTGCTAATGAGCTGTCTTTAGGCAGAAGGAAATAAAGGATTTTTAAAAATCCATTGCTAAATATCTTGGGAACCTAAGAATAGGCTTGCTACAGTTTTATCTCTCAGACAGGATTCTTGTACCTTTAAAAACTCTGTTAAACAGAAATTCAAGGGATGAAGTTTTCCCTTTTATTTTGTCTACTCCTGGGTTAGGCATAAGGGATTTGAGGATAGATTTCTGGGTAATTTACAGTAGATAAGCTGTGTATCACACTACTTTATTTAATAAATTTTTGGATAGCCAGTACTGGATTTTGTGTGTTGAAGGACTGTGGACTCTGTTCATTTCTGGTAATCAAGACAAACTATTGGGCTTGGAATTCTTGACTCCTAAGAATACGTCTTTTGTACCTCACTCCTGGCAGATCTGAAGGTTATAGTAGAAAACAAAGTGGACTCTGAAAGCATGAAGTCTGCCTACCCCCTGTTCTTTACATGCTGGGGAAAGCACTACCAGTTGAATTTCTGCTTGACATACAAGAACTACCTCACTCCCAAACAGAAGTAACAACCCTTTCACTTTAAAATTAAATTAAATATGTTTGTAAGGAATTATGGAAGCTAGAGGTAAACAAATGGGGTACCAGGGAGTTTGGAGTGTAACTTGACTAATTATGGAAAGAAATTATACATTGTTCTTTGTTATATTAAAAACCAACCAGAACATTGCTGTGTGTGTGTGTGTGTGTGTATGTATGCACACACCACACACACATACTTATTTCTGCCTGTAAAATTTCATGCCTCTTTTTTGTGATTGTGGTAGAAATTGTTGCCTCAATGTTAAAACTGCATCATTATATTGCAAATAATTTACCACAATGCAAATCATTTATTTAGTATAACCAAGTCTCTTCTTTCCTCATCTGAATCCTGGGGAATTTACAGTCATTGGAACATTGGTTTAAAATACTTCAATAAACCTTGATTTTTAAAAACATATTGCCAAGTCATCAGCAACGCCAAAGGTCACCTGCAGCTTCTTCCATGTTTCCCTAGAAAAGTTTGTATGCAGGAACTACATGGGTGGGGCTATGATGCAGTTCCTTCCCACTTGAGGGTTGCCAAGCTTTGAGAAGGTGGGCAAAATTTCCATCCCAATGCAGAAAATATATAAATTGTCCTAGAAATTCAACAATACAAGACAAACCAGAGGTGTGAAATGCCCATGATAGAAGCAACCAGATAAGAACAAAACTCTTTCCAGCTAGACTTAATTCTTTCATTACCCATACACATATTTTAAAGCCATCTCATAATTTAATCCAGGAAATAATTCAAGTATCTTAAATGTTACATGCCATATCAGAGCACAAAACAGCACAGGTTCCCCCACAAAGAAAACAGTCGTTTCACAGAAAAGCATACCTGCTGGACTGGAAAACATAGTTTGTACCAATGAACATTATTCTGAATTCAGTAGGTGCTTCCTGATTATGTATGTGGCTATACCTGCTGAGCTTCTCAACGCTATTCAGCTGTTAAAGGTGCAGGAACCTCTGTTAGGAAGGGAGGTGGCAACCTTGAGCGCAGATATTAATAAACTGGCCAGTGGGTATTTTTCTAATAGTCATTTTGGAAATGCCACATAAATATGAACAATGCTCTTCCCAGCTATCATCCTGAAAAGTCCTTGCTCTGCAACTCTCTTCCATAGCAATATACAGATCCAGAGGAATCACTTAGTACAGCTCTCTTGGCACTGCATATGTTTGGAATGCATGTGGCGAGTGCATGATTGAAATCTTCCCCATGGTCAAAGCCAGCATGAGGGAGAAGGCCGCATGAAAAGGAAGAGCTATTTCTTCATGTACATATTGATACAGGCGGAACATTCAGCCATGCAGCTCCTCACCTCTGTTCAAAAGTGGTCCAGTCCAGTACTGTGTGAATCTTCTGATTAGGCAGATCAGCTAGTTGCTTAGGATTCTAGCACCTTTCAAAAGGTACTGAGCAAACCTCCAGTTAATCTGGCCATTTGCTTTATTTGCATTTACCATCGGGAATAATATGAATGCAATCCTTTCTGGGCTCAGTGTTTGCATAAAAACTGTTCAGGAGAATCAGATTCACAAGTTACTAATCTTTTCTGTCTATAACAAGAGAAGCCACTATGGTTGGAAGGAAGGGACTTTGCTGATTTGAAAATGCAGCTAGAAAATACCCGAAGAAGGTTGCTAGTTCATTAAAAGTGCACTTGAAATACAGACAGCTGAAAGCCTTTTAAAGTCTCTTTTTCATGTAAGTGAAAGTTCAGCCACAAGTAGGCTTTGATGATTAGCTTCTAAATGGGTTGCTCCCTGGGGCAGCGTGTCCTTATTTATACCTAAAATATACTGACATGGGTGTTTTCCATATGCAGGCTTTGTAAAGAATCCACAGCTGGGGCAAAGGAAGAAAAGAATTGAACTCACCTCCAAGGTATTATTAAACCTACTATTCTAAAGTTTTAGATATCAAAGCAGAGTCCAAGTGGTCTGTGCTGTTGGCAATTTGTTCAATAATTTAAGGCTACAATGTACAAAGGCAAGCGGCGTGCGCTGCATCAAGGAGAACTTGAGTAGCAATCCTAGATGCATTTATCTGGGAGAAAGTCCCATTGAAGTTAATGGGGCTTACATTCAAGGAGGCGTATATAGGATTGTGATGTTGCAGAAAGATGCTAGGCCTCCTCTACTCCCCAAAATTAGAGGGAAGTCTGCATAGCAGATTTGTATTAAGCAAATAGTAAAGAAGTTGAGCTCATCATGGGCAGCTCAGTATGTGAGCTGTTCATGCTGTTTCAGCCAGACAAGGAGAAAAGAAAGCCTTGCAGAGCAAGCAGAAGCCTGCCTACACAAGCATTTCATTGTGTGTTGTAACTTGCAAATTTCATTGGACTTTATGAGAATTGGATGTATTGGTTTGGCTTCAGCATATTGATAATGCATCTTGATAGAATACCATTTATTTACAAAGCCTTTGCTTTGCTTTAACAAATGAATGGAACGCCTGGATGGAAATCACTGCCCTCCTTCCATAGACAGTACCTTAAACTCAGCAGCAGCAGCAACAACAAATACCATCAGTTAATTTTGCTATCACTTTAATTCTCTATCTCTCTCTCTTTTTCCTGGTTTAACGTTTTCAGTCACCAGTAATAGCAATCCATTTATTTGTCTGATTGCATGCTGGCAATTGTAGACATAGTTCTAGGCCAAATGCTGTCTCCGGACATATCCAAGGCTGCAACCCTATACTCCAGGGGTGGGGGACCCTTTTCAGCCTGAGGGCCGCATTCTGTCACAAGCAAGATTTGCAGGGCCCACATGCTAAAGGTGGGCAAAGCCAGAGGCGGAAAGTGGGTAGAGCAACAGGTGTGATTCTTTCCTTTGTACAGCAGGCTGCATTCCAGCAATGTAACAATTCAAAGATTTCTACACACACACACACACACACACACACACACACACACACAAACAAACACACACCCTCCATTCAAGCAAGCAAGAGGCATTATCACAGTTCAAAGACACATTCCAGCCAGGCAAAAGCACCTGAGGTGGTTGCAGAACAGGGCCAGTGAAGGGCGTGCCCTGAGGAGAAAGAGTGTCAGCTGGGGAGAGTCCTAAGGGCTGAATAGAGAGGCTGCATTTGCCCCCTCAGTGTGGAGGCTCCTCACAAACCTTCTAAGCCTGGAATGAATCCCCATTGAACTTTTGAGCTGTGCAGACAGCTGGGCCCCTTCCAACTGCTGATTCAGTGGGACCTTCTTCTGAATAGATGTTCAGGAATGCCCTATGCTTCAACTTTCCTGCTTCTTAAGAGCTGTGTAGAAATATTACACCCAAGTCAAATTTGCTAAGCTCTCCTACAGCATAAGGCTGTAACTGCCTACTCAGAATTAGGTCCCTCTGAGTTCAGTTGGGCTTACACTTAGGTAAGTGGGTGTAGGGTAGCAGCCCTCATCTCTTTTGCAGCTTGACATTTAATTAAATCTTTGCTGTTTGCATTTAAGAAACACTAAAATATTCTCCAGAGAAGTAACCATTTTAAATTGTCTTGCAAGAAAGTATATTTTGACATGTTAAACACTTCACAAATTTATTGTGCCATAAGCTTTTGTAGACTACAGTCTACTTAGTCAGATTCATACAGTACAACCTTTGTTGCAGGTATATGGTCAGTAGAGGGACTGTAAACAGAAATGAGAGGGAAATAAAATGCAGAAAGTACAGAGAAAGTGACAGTTATGTAGGTAACTGGTAATTCACAAAGGTACTGTAAAATGTAAAGGACCCCTG